GTTACTGCTTCTACGGACTTGATCGGCCACAACTTTCAGACGACGATGCTTCAGCCTCAGCACCGGAAGAGGACCTCATAGCGAACGACCCCGTAGCAAACGACCCCGTAGCAAACGACCCGACAACGATCGATCCGCCGAAACAAACTGATCCACCACATGATGATGGGTCGTGGGATGCGTCATGGGAGGAACTGGTGAACCCTACGGTAAAGACGGGGTCGTTCCGGAAAATGCGGATCTGGAGACGGGTAGAGGAACTAACAGACCAGTGGGTTCACGTGGTCTTCACAGCCAGAGAGGGGTATTCTTCGTGCTCCATCCCGGCGGGGGCCAGGCTGGTCAGCACTCTGTTCACTGGATTGACATATATGAGACGAGACTGGGGACGGCTCTACGCAGAAATGGGTACAGTGGCCCAGTTCCAGTTGGAGTGGTCGTCACACCAGGTCGTTGCAATTTTCGATCAGCGAAAGTGCGAAGAAGTTTTCGTGGGAGGTCAGGGCGGTGAATCTTTCAGCATTCGTGAGACCTGGCTGGAAGACGGGGAGAAGCCGAGCCACTTTATCCTGCACCATCCAACGTATAGCCACTATGTACCGATCGTGCACACATTCCACTTCGAGGACGGGAACCCGGAGGAGGAGAACCCTGAGGAGGAGAACCGCCGCCAAGACAACCGCGAGGGGAGCCGGCAGGCATGTCCGAACCCGCAGGTCAGCCTGTATCCGGATTACCCTTTGGTGAAGGACTTCCCGAATCCAGTTCTAGTCGTTACTGTTCGTAAGGGCTTCTTTACCTCTAGAACAATCGTGGACGCGGTTCCCTTGTCTCTGTACCTCGTCAAAGACGGACTACGCATCCAGATTGAAGCCTGTGGCGATCTTGGGCTGGTACACATTGCTTGCGTCCGCCGAGGCCGCGGCGGCCGAAACAAGCTGCTGCACCGCACTCAGATAGACACATCCTTGAAACCGATCCAAGTTATCTTAGAAGGTACAGATCAGCTGATGCGAGCGACACACTTAACCTATGAAGTTGAGGGCCACTGTGCAGGGTTCACAGCCCAGCATTCCCCAATAACTAGCATGAGGCGGCCCTTTACAGCTTTGATGGTACCGGAGTCCGTCAACAAAAACACGTTCGATGATGAGAGGTTCTGCATATAAGTTTAAGAGGTTCTACCAAATTCTATCAGCCAGCCCCCAACCAGCTATCAGATTGGAGGGCCAGGCGTATGCTTGGGTGGGACCTATGAAGGTGCGTTAAGTGTTGTGTCATTCATTTTGTCTTTTCGTTGGGCTGGCTGAACCGACACAGCTGTGCACGCAACTGGATTTTGTGAACACGCAACGGACATAATCGCGTGCGGGTAGTTGGGTGGGTGTTGCCTGCACCTCCGTGTTGCTCCCATGTCGGGTTGAGTAACCCACTTGCTGGGTGCAGTAAATCAGCTGTTTATTACCTTTTGTTGCGTTGCATCTGGAATGGTAGGAAGGATGTCGGACGACAGCGCATGTGGGATGGCGGACCGTGTAGCTCGCTTGCGATGTTCCACGTTTGGGTCGAGAGAAATGGTAGTCCAGTTTCTTGACCCAACAATCAGGTCGATCCGGCTTACAGGGTCGGAAAAGCTTTCTTCTGGACCTGAGGATGTCGTGGCAGAGTGGCTAAGGGTTCCCTATGACGTCAGCATTCACTCGGAACAAGCACGTACGTCCACTGGTTAGCTCCTGCAACTAAGACACCAACTGTCTTTAGGTCTTTGGTCTTACCGCATCCCAGTCTGTTCTGCTCAACTGAGCGAGCAACTGACGGTTCCTCGAGGTGTTCGATTCATCGTGTTGTGTGCGACCCCTTTGGACGTGGAGGTCTTGCCGACCGTCAAAATCCAGGAACCAGACGCGTCGATTACTGACCCGAACGGCTACGTTCTGAAACAGGTGGTGTCATACTTACCACTCCTGGCTCAAGTCTACCTGCGGCCGGTTTGCAAAAAGGTGTATGAGATGACCAAAGGCCTCACTGCGGAGACTGTGTGGCCGGTCAGCAACTGGAGATACCGTAGGGGGCACCGGGATAATTCGTGGCCCGGTAGTACGAATTGAGGACGC